TCGGTGCAGCCCTGCCTTGCACCCGAGCCTGCCCGCGGGCCTCCCTAGCGTGGCCTCCGACCCCGTGCGGACCCCCGTCCCGCTAGGGTGCTGTGCTCCACTCCTCAAGCTCTTCCCTCTGCCTGACGCCCGCTGCCTAGGGCTCACCCTGAGCCCGGCTAGCAGCTACCGAGCTCAGAAATCGTTCTTCCCGGAGCCTTCCCCAACCCTGAGGCAAGGTGGTCGCCTGCTCTGGGATCCTAAGAAACTTCAGCAAGATCATGTCACTCTCTTTAAAATGCCCTGGTGGCTCCATTCCACTCTAAAAGCCATAGTCCCTTTAATGGCTTAAGAGGCCTCCACCAATGTGGTTCCGAACTTCATCTCTCTTACGCCCCCACCAACTCCTCTGGCTGCACGGGCATCCTTGCTACCCCTTGAACATACCAGCCATACCCTCACCGCATTGGCCTTGCACTTGTTCTCTCTGCTTCTCCTAATTTTTATCCATGTAACCCACTCCGTAACTTCCTTTCAGTCTTCTTTCACCTTCTTCATAAGGCCTGCTCTGACCATCCTGTTTAATATTGCACCCCCCTCTCCCTTACACTCCCTTCCCAGCTCTGTATTTCTCCGTAACACTTACCACCATTTGGCATACTGAGTGTCTAGGCCGGGGTTATCCATCTCTCCCACCCTTGAGAATGTAAGCATCGTGAAAGGATTTCTGTTGATCTCACTGCTGTATTTCCAGTGCCTGGCACACAGTGGGTGCTCAATACATGTTTGTAATTGGTAGTTACAAAATAGTCAAGGGAGTGTAAAGTATAGTATAGGGAATATAGTCAATAATATTGTAGTAACTATGTATGGTGCCAAGTGGGTACTTGAATTATTGGGGGGACCACTTTGTAAAGTTTATGATTGTCTTAACCACTATGCTGTATACATGAAATTTAATACAAAATATGTAAAGTGTAATTGAAAAAAATTGTTTTGTTGATTACGTGCTGAAATGTTTTGGGTATTGGAGTTTAAAAATTATTAAATTTACAAAATAAAAGAATATCTAGTCGCCGTAGCTGGTTTGTCTCAGTGAATAGAGCATCAATCAGCCTGAGGACTAAGGGGTTCTGGGCTCAATTCTGGTCAAGGGCACATGCCCAGATTGCAGGCTTGGTCCCCAATAGGGGGTGTGCAAGAGGCAGCTGATCAATGATTCTCTCTCATCATTGATGTTTCTCTCTCTCTATCCCTCTCCCTTCCTCTCTGAAATCAATAAAAATAAAAAAGTAATAAATGCAATAACAAAATATTTAAAAATTTTTATTCATTTTGTAAGTGTTGAAGTTAAATATTTATACATTTACCATTTTCTAAATCTTACTTTGTTCCTATTTTGTACATGTTATTTTTTGCACTCAAATGTTTATTTTATACATACATTTTACTTATTTATAAATATATTTTTATTGATTTTAGAGAAGAAGGGAGAGGGAGAGAGAGAAGTATCAATGAGAGAGAATCATTGATCCGTTGCCTCCTGCACACCCCCTACTGGGGATTGAGCCCACAACCCCAGGCATGTGCCCTTGGCTGGAATCAAACCTGGGACCCTTCTGTCCTCAGGCTGATGCTCTATCCACTGAGCCAAATCGGCTAGGGCAATACATACATTTTAAAGATGCTTATATTCTATCTTGTCAATTGGTTGATCCCTTTTGATTTTGACGTATTGGTTTGCTCTACAGCAGTGGTTCTCAACCTTCCTAATGCCACGACCCTTTAATACAGTTCCTCATGTTGTGGTGACCCCCAATTTCATTGTTACAAATTGAACATAATTAGAGCATAGTGATTAATCACAAAAACAATATGTAATTATATATGTGTTTTCTGATGGTCTTAGGCGACCCCTGTGAAAGGGTTGTTCGACCCCCAAAGGGGTCGCGACCCACAGGTTGAGAACTGCTGCTCTAAAGTGATATGGATTTTAACATACTGAAAGTTACATGTTCAACACCCTGGACATTGCCAATATGCCAAGATTCTCAGAAAATGTGTGAAATGAAGGAGTTATTTCACTTTACCCCTCTCAACCTTTAGGGTCCAGCAACTCCACTCTGTCTAAAGCACCCACCATGCTGGTTTAAGAATGGTGTGTCCTTTATGCAAGTGTCCTTTTCCCTCCAGGTGATTCAGCTTATCACCCCTTCTGAGAAGCCTCTTTTGGGCTCCAGCTGCCCCCGTGGGCTTCCCTTCTCACAGAGTACTGTTTCAGTTGTGGTGATTGTCTATTTAACCCCTCTCTTCAATTTTACACAGTGAGGACAGAAATTCAAAGACAATTCAGATCTCCACCCACAGGACCTGCAGTATTTGACGAGTAAAAAGAAACAGAAGAAAAAGTATCTGATTTATTCAAGTTTCTGTAATCTCCCTGAGAAACAAAGCAGCATCAGTATAGACCAGCACTGTCCACCAGAACTCTCCGTGAAGATGGGAATGTCCTATAGCTGCGCTGTCCTCTTACATGGCTACCTGAGCAGTGAAATGTGGTTAGTGTGACCAGGAAACTGAGTTTTTAATCTTAAATTGTTTAAAATTTAACTAGTTGTTATACTGGACAGCACAAGTATAGACCAGTGGTTCTCAACTGGGGGCAAATTGCTTCCAGAGGGGACACTTGCCAGTGTCTGGAGATATTTTTGATTATCACAACCAGGAAGTGTATGCTCCTGGCATCTAGTGAGCAGAAATCAGGGATGATGCTGAACATGCTACAAAGCACAGAATAGCCCCTCACAATAAAAATTACCTGGCCTTGCCCTAACCCAGTGATGGCGAACCTATGACACGCGTGTCAGAGGTGACACGCGAACTCATTTTTTTGGTTGATTTTTCTTTGTTAAATGGCATTTAAATATATAAAATAAATATCAAAAATATAAATCTTTGTTTTACTATGGTTGTAAATATCAAAAAATTTCTATATGTGACACGGCACCAGAGTTAAGTTAGGGTTTTTCAAAATGCTGACACGCCGAGCTCAAAAGGTTCGCCATCACTGCCCTAACCGGTTTGGCTCAGTGGATGGAGCGTTGGCCTGCGGACTGAGGGGTCCCAGGTTCGATTCCGGTCAAGGGCATGTACCTTGGTTGTGGGCACATCCCCAGTGGGGGTGTGCAGGAGGCAGCTGATAGATGGTTCTCTCGTTGATGTTTCTAACTTTCTATCCCTCTCCCTTCCTCTCTATAAAAAATCAATAAAAATATATTTTAAAAAATTATCTGGCCCAAAACATCAGTTGTGCGGAGGCTGAGAAACCCTGGTCTAGACCATCTATAACCTGCCTTTGAAAAGGACAGACCCTTAACTGCACACCAGGAACTGGGATTGGCCAGAGGTCCTGGGCTGCTCCTAGAACAGATGGACCTAGAAGGCTTCAGGAATGCCCCAAATCAGTCCCCATCAGTCAAACATCAAACATGTTGCTAAGCCAGTATGTGCTAAGCTGTGTGCCAGTGTCAGTATAAGACCAAGCTGGATCCTATCCTTAGTGAGGGGCTGCCTGCCCTCCCTCCATCCAGGCTCCTTCAAGGATCCTGGCAGAGGGGTTAGGTTGCTACAGGGAGCACTAAAAGGTCTTAGCAATGATTTTTTTTTTTTTTTAACAGATCTTGCCTCAGGTTTATTTGTACAAATAGCACAGGAGGACACTAGTTCCAGGGGTCACACCAGTCCTTCTGTCCTCACATCAGCAGACAGAGGCCTCTCCTGTGGAGCCTTTATAGGGGTCTGGGCACCTTTGGGAGCCTAAGCCTGAGTTGCAGCTGCAGCTGCAGCCTGAGGCGTGGTTTAAGCCTTGCCGTGGCCTTTGGCCAGCAGTACCTGAGACCCTTAGTGATGGGGACACAGCACATTTCCAAAGTTTGGGGTAAAGGATGTAGGCAAGTTGGCTGAGCTTGCAGCTGCCCCTCTGGGATCCCAGCCTGACTTCCCTGGGCTTTACGCAGGCCTCGACAGCCTTGGTACATGTGCTCATGGCGTTAAGTGTTGTCGACGTGCCTCTTCTTGTGCTTTTTGGCAAAGTGTATGTTTCTCAGGAACTTTGGATCTATTTCCTTCCTGATGCCTTTTCTGGACCATTTTTGGAACTGGTTGTGCATGGTGTGGTTCCTGGGCTTGGCCATATCTGCACTGAAGCCTGCAGCA